AAAGAGGTCATGTAATGTTAACCATTTTTCTTAGAGACAAGCGTGAGAATAATGGTGCAGCTGTTGAACATTTGAGATGTCTAGTCACAGACATCAGGAGCATGAGGAAAAATGGGGGGAAGAGAAGCTTACCTTGCAACTAAAGCAGTGACAGACTGGCATTAAGAACGTTCAGACTGAAGTGTTCAATGCTGCCTTTGCTTTAGTCTTGACCAAAATGACCAGAAGATTTTCAAAATGAACTTTAACGAAGAGATGGAAGGATAGACCAGAACAGGGAAAAGAGCCAGTGTAAGAGCACTTAGGTATGATAGGTGTATTCATATTGGCTGGGTCTGAAATTCCCCAAAATAATTGTTGCGCAGTTGAGGAAATAGCCAAAGTACACTCAACACCATTAGGAAGCATCTTAGAAAGCTTTTGGAGATTGGTGAGGTCCCAGAGGAGTGGAAAAGGGCAAGAAGCCAAGATCTTTTAAAGCTGTCAGCTTAACTCTCATCTCAAACAAAGTATTAAACAATTTAACAAGAAAAGCAGATTGCATCAAACCATTTAATTTCCTTCTGTGATAGGGTTGTTGAGTTACTGGATAAAGAGGAAGCAATAGATCTGATCTGTCTTGACTCAAGTAAGGCTTTAGACGGTATCAGACCTATCATTTTTGTAAGCTAAGGAACTGTGATCTAGGACATGTCATCACCATAAGGAGGGTGCACAAGTGGCTAAAAATCATTCTTGGAGTAGTTATCAGTGACTTGCTTTCAGACTAAGAGAACATTTCAAGTAGGTCTGTGCAGGTCTATCTTGGGTCTCACTCTAATTGGTATTTTTATTGATGATTTGGATGGTGGAATGGAGCATTGACTTGTAAAATCTGCAGGTGATACCAAGCTGGGAGAGCGTCCAAGTGTGCTGGTGTACAGGGTCAGAGTTTGAAATGATGTTGACAAATTAGAGAGAGATTCCACAATGAACAAAGACAAAATGCAGTAAAGGTAAGGGCGGGCTGCTACACTCTTAGGGAGAAGGAATCAAATGCAAGAGGGGGATAAGAGAATAGGAAATGCTATGGCATAAAAAGATCCGGGGGTTTCTAGTCCATTACAAATTTAAATGGGAATCAACAGCATGATGTAGTTGCAAAACAAGGTGATATATTTCAAAATGTGCCTTAGATATGACATGGGAGTAATTATCTGCCGTATTCACCCCTGATGAGTCTTCAAGTGGAGTACTATGTCCAGTTGTTGGCATAATACTTTAAGAAAAATGTTGCTTTCCTGAAAAACAAGAATTTTAGAAAATATGTCCTGTGAGGAAGGGTTGAAAGAAACTGGATTTTTATAGTCCAGAAGGAGAAGACAGGGGGACACCAGCATCCCAGTATGTGCCTGATGAAGAAGAAATTGACCGAATTGGCAATGAACATGATGTAGCCTAGATACTAGGAAATGCTTTTAACAGTTAATTGGGGTGGTGAAACACTGGAATTAGCTACCTAGGGATGTGGAATCTCCTTCATTGCAGGTTTTTAACAGCAGGATAGGCAAACAGCTGTTGAGGATGATCAAGGTATATTTGATTCTGCCTCTGACCTAGTAAAGGGGCAGCTGGAGGGGTTGGATGTATTTAAGTCAACCAGCCCTGATGATCTTCATCCTAAGGTACTTGGGGAATTAGCTGGAGTCATAATGGACCCACTGGCGCAACTGTTTTCACACTCACGCTCAGGATAGGTCCCGGAGGATTGGAAAAGGGCCAATGTGGTCCCTATTTTCAAGAAGGGGAGGAAGGAGGAACCAGGTAACTATAGGCCGGTTCGCCTCACCTCTATCCTTGGGAAGACCTTTGGGAAAATTGTTAAGTATCACATCTGTGGGGGACCAGCAGGTAAAATAATGCTGAGGGGCACCCAGCACAGGTTCATGGCAGGCAGATCCTGCCTGACTAACCTGGTTTCTTTTTATGACCGGGTCACAAAATACTTGGATGAAGGAATAGAGGTAGCTGTTTTTTACTTAGATTTGAAAAAGGCCTTTGGCACAGTGTTACACCCAGTTCATAAAAATAAGTTAAACAGTTGCAATGTAGATTATTACACAGTCTGATGGGTAGAAAATTGGCTTATGGGACACACCCAGAGAGTGGTGGTGGACAGGTTGGTTTCTACCTAGAGAAATGTAGGCAGTTTAACAAGGATAAATGGCGTGTGTTGCACCTGGGGAGGAAGAGTCATAGACACTCCTACAGCCTGGGAGGTACCACTCTAAGTAGCACAACTGCGGAAAGGGATCTCAGAGTCGGAGTCGACTCCAGAATTAGCATGAGTCACCAGTGTGATGAGGTAGTAAGTAAAGCTAACCGTACTCTTTCTTGCATAAATAGGTGCATCACAAACAGGTCTAGGGAGGTGATACTTCCCCTTTTATGCAGTATTGGTCAGGCCGCAGCTGGAGTACTGCATCCAGTTTTGGGCGCCGCACTTCAGGATGGATGTAGATAACCTGGAAAGGGTTCAGAGGAGGGCCACCTGTCTGGTTAAAGGCCTACAGGAAAAACCCCATGAGGATCGATTTGAAGGACCTGAATCTCTTCAGCCTCCTCAAGAGAAGGCTGAGAGGTGATCTTGTGGCTGTCTACAAACTCATCGGGGGGGACAGAAGGAAACAGAGGATACAGTGTTTACCAGGGCACCAGTTGGGGTAACTAGAAACGATGGCCACAAACTGAAGGAGAGCAAATTTAGATTGGACATCAGGAAAAAATTATTTGCAGTGAGGGTTGCCAAAATATGGAATACACTTCCAACGGAGGTGGTGCTGTTCCCTTACTTGGAAGTATTTTAAAGGAGATTGGACAAACTCCTGGCTGGGGGTCATCTGCCCCCAGCACTCATTCCTGCCCAGGACTTGATGACCTAGTAGGTCCTTTCCGACCCTAAAATCTATGAATCGGTGCAGGGGGCTGGACTAGATGATTTCTTGAGGTTCTTTCCAGTCCAAGCTATTATAATTCTTGTCTTCTTCTTTGGAGCCTGTCCTAGGGGTCTCTCTTAGACTGCTATAAAGATAAACAGCTGGCAAAACTGTATTTGCTGTAAGCATGCTGGATTGCCATCTCGGTTGCACCAGTGTAAATGCCAATAGTCTGACTTGGGAAGACAGATCAGCGGTTATCTACCACTTTAGATTCAAGACACCACTTGGAGGAAGTGCCACACTTAATTTTCACTTGTCTGTTGGCTACAGAAAAATAACAGAGTGATTCTTCTGTTGCAGGGAACTCGGCCCACAGCAGGACAGAATTAATTTCTATTTGAAATCTCTGGGTTTATCTTGTGAATCATGTTTGCACACCTAACAGTGCTAACGTTTCATGGCACTCTGCAGCACCCTTGAAAGGCTCTCAAGGCACCCTTGTTGAGAATTGCTAGGATAGGTACTCTGGTACTTGCCATGCAGGATCAGGTTCTGATCATGTAAACCAGGGGTGGCCAGCCTGCAGCATACATGCAACAAGTGGCATGGGCAGTTTCTGTGTGTGTGGCATGCGGCAGATCAGTACAATGGCAGATAAGGTAGAAAGCAGAGCAACACATGGGGCAGGGAGCAGAAAGCAAAGCAGCAGATTGGGCTGGGGAAGAGAATTGGAGTGGCACTTGTGGAGGGTGCTGGGGTAATTTGTGGTACACCTGGAGTAGCTATATTGAAATTTGTGGGTTGACCATAGTTGTACACAAATTTTAAACGAGATCAAATATCATATATATCCAAGACATCAGTAATTTGCTTTTTCTTCAGTATTGTTTATTCAGCTTGCTGATCAGGGATTGCATCTGTTTCTTTTCTTTTCAGAGCCATGTCAGATTGAAGTGAGGTTACTATTGGCATACAATTCCAGTAGGAGCAAAGCTTCCACTAAAATCTCCAAATCCACGTGGAGCGACAGCATGGACACTTTTCCACAGTCTGAAAGTGGCATTGAAGGAACTATCCCATTCAGCAAACCAGTCAAAGTGTATATAATGCCCAAACCTGCCAGACGGTGAAGTCAATTGCTAAAAGACTTTATTTGTGGGATTGCTGGGTTACATGTACACAGATTATTGTATTGCAGGATAGTGGATCAAACCATAATAGTGTTCTGTTAAAGTGAAAGACTGCAAAACACAATGAAGAATACAGCTATGAAAGAATAAGTGGCCTCCTTTATTAAAAGACTGGTTACAGCATAAGTTATGGATAGGTACCATGAACACAGGCATTTCTAAATCAAATCAAGAAAAGTGAGACACTTAATGTTGACGTTCCATCCATTACTCTTTTTATTGGGTCAAATTCTGCAGTCCTGAGTTCCTCCTCTAGGAAAGATCTCCTGTAGAGGCCACTGGGAGTTTTGCCTGAGTGAGGATTTGGTGAAACTGGAAGTGTTTACTATGTAAATACTTAGTAAGGCATTTTAGATGCTTCTTATGGTTTAATGATGATCTGAAATAGAGCAGAGTTTTTTGAAATGTCTAAAATGTGTGTTGGTCTTTCAGCGCTGGGTAAAGATTTTTTTCCTACAGCACTGCTCTATCTGGGCAGGAGCCACTTCTCAAAATGCAACAGTGGGCTGTTCCTGGGCTGGCTTATGCCTTTGCAGCCATATTGAAGGCAATGAATGATTGATGGCCCTTGCCACTCCAAAGTTTTTGGTGCCTTGGCTGTTTTAAAGCAAAACAAAAAACTCAAACAACCCTCTTGCAAACCTGTAGGCTTTCTGTTTCAGGGCAGGCTGCTTACCTTAGAACAATGGTAATGCAACACCCGTGTAAAATCACTGACTTGCCTCTGCATATAATGAAAAAGATGCTCTATATTTTTACCTTGTCATTATTAACACTCCTTCTCACTTGTTTTCTGTATGTCTCTGTGAAGAATGTGTGCAGTGGCACAGGCAAAAAAACCCCCAAAAAACCCCAGCTAGCTGTCCTGTCAGTAAGATGCAGGATCTTCTACTGCTGTGCTGTGCTCTGGAGCTGAAGCAGATCTTGGTGTGGCATGATAAATGGTCTTTCAGCATATACAGTTTTGAATCAGTTCAGTAGTTCACTCTCTCTGTTAAATTAGCGAGGTCAGTAGTCCAGGCTTCTTATCAGGTGGGAAGAGGGGGCAGTTAGGGATGAGATGAAAGGAACAAGGAGCCTTGCCTAGAGGATAGGCACCATGGCATCCTTCCACTGGAGCAGAATGACTGTTCCTGTCTAGTGGCCTCAGGCTCTGGAGGGGTTGTTCTTGCCTGAGTTCTGTTGCTTCTGCAGCTTCAGCTGAGAAGGTATATCTTGACATCATTCCCCAGCACAGGCCTGTGTTTCAAAGGCCTCTAGGAGCACCCAGTGACCCCCTAGCAGTCTGTAATACAATTTACTAGAAATGCATGGTATATGAATTTTTCCAGCACAATGGCCAAATAGTCCCTGTGTTCATAAATTATTTGTAAAAATGTATATTTGCAGCAGGTAAGTCAGATAGCTGAGGATGATAGTAAATCCTTCTATTTACTTGTATAGAAACTAGCATAACATTATGCATAAACCCTTTTAAATGTGCTTTTGTACAATAAACTTGGAAAACGCCAACCAGACTTGTTTCTCTTTATTAGAAGAGTGAACATGTATTTTTGGCAGAGGCTTGTGCTAGAGAGACCACACCCCTGTTGTTTCCACAGGGGTACTATTGGCATGTTTCAGGTGACTAGGTACAAAGCCACAAATATCTGTAGTCCCTGGGCTGTGTTAGTTTATCATAGATTTAACTTCACTTCTTAACTTTTATTGCTCTTACAAGCTGTTTTTGTATTTCACCTTCAGGGCACTGGTTTGAAAACTTCATGCATCTGTAGCAAAAGAGCTGGTCGTCATCTGACTGCGGGCTCAGTTCTGTTTCCAGTGGACAGGGGTTGATGTACATCTCTTATCACGAAGCTGCATCTTGGGCAGACACTTGATGTATTGAGCTACCTCCTTGCAGATTTTCTTCCTCTCTGTTTACACTTTAGCAATATGTGTATAGTTTGTCATGGCAATAAAGATTTGTGATCCAGTTCGTGTCCATATTATACAAGCCACTACAATTCTTCATCTTGCTGGCAAGTGGAAATAAACCTAATCTGAGTGAACTGTGGAGAGTGAACTGGCTATTCAGCCCTAGAAGTTGCTTTGGCGTTGCAGAAAGAAGCTGTAACACTGGTGGGTAGAAGAGAGAAGCCCTCACTGATGCTACCTCTTTTCCAGTGAAACCTTGAGGTTTCAGCATTAATCAGATGTCTTTCATGAACTCTGCATACCTGAAAAGGAAGGAATTGTCTGGGCTCTTCTGTGACTAAAAAAATGTTGAGCTGTGAATAGTCACCTGGTCCAGGGCAGTAAGCCAATCATACTCTTCTTTCTGGATCTTTAAATAAAATAAAATGCTTTCCATCTTTTTCCTGTTGCTCAACATGGTCATGAAGATAGTCTGCTTAACCAAGGGAAATTTGTGATACAGTAGGCCTCATTGGAGAATCCATTCTTCTGTTGGTGCCTAGTATTAACAATTGGCTACATGTCATGTAAAATCAGACCAGAGTCTTTTATCCTGCATGTTGGTAAGGACTGAGAGTCAAAGCCTAGAGGAATTTACCAAAGCACCTAATCTGCAACTTAAGGTCAAGTTTTTGAAGGTGTTTAGACACCAGAAGTGCCTTGCCTAACAAAACTCTGGACTGGTAAGGGATGGTTATATTTGCTTATTTACTGATTTTTAGAGTGAGGACACCAAAGGTTTGTTCTCTTGCTTCTACCTTTCCATTCTCCTGTTTGGATTCAAAACATGGGCTCTTCCATTAGCCATGATGTTATCCCACAGTCAGTTTAATCTTTGATACTCACCTGACATTTTCCTTTCTTTGCATTACTCCTTGTTCAACCTACAGCCAAACTCTAGAAATTCCTTCTTCTCCTCTTGAGTGTCTTAATGCCATTGAGACAGATGAATTATTCCCCCAAGTCATTGTTTGACTAAATCACTGTCAGTTCATTCTTATGAAGATTAAAACTCAATGCTGCTGCTCTGAACACCGCTCTTTTCAAAATTAAAATTTATCTACATCTTCCTGGTGTGTTGACAGACAGACTTGAATGGATACTCTTGATGCAGTTCTGTCTGTCCCAAGGGAGAGACTATCACCTACCTGGGATGTTACATGAGCTATCTTGTTGCCTTATTTGCATTGCAAATTTAGGTTTATTTTACAATTAGCTCTCAGACCTGTCTCTCTTGGGATGTTGCTTTCTAGTCCTTTCCCTCTTATTGAATCTGTGCTAAGTGTGTTGTCCTCTGATGCTTTTCTTATCCACCCAGATTTCTGAACTTGTTTGTTTGGGTTTTGTTTTGGGGGGGGGGAATTGTATTTTATGAGTGTTGTTATTAATTTAATGTACCAAGCCATACGTTGGAGTAAATTTGTATTGTACTTGAAAAGACATGGAGAAATTCACCTTTTTCAATTCATGGTAAATCTTTTCTGGACCCTGACTTCCCATTTCCTTCTGCATCTGAGACATTTAAGCACTTCCTGAGAAATGATGAAGACAGCTGACACACTCATAAAGCTCACTTTGGTCACATCCCTTGTCCCATCCTAGCAGACTTTCTACTCCCACTGTTTCAACTTTCTGCTTGAATTCTTGGATTCCTACCTTGCAGTAGGAGACAAAAAAGGACTGATCTGGGGATGGATGCCCTTCCACAAAGGGCAAAAGAGAACCAGAAGAACACATGCGGCAGAGTAGTAGCTCAAAGCCTCATCTTTTGTGAGATCTAGCTCCCTCCACGGGGAAGAGGTGCGCTCACGGTAATACAGGGAGGCAGCAGAGGTCCTTTGTGCAGAATGTGCTTGGAACAGTGGAGGAACATAGGGAGTACTTTGGAAATTGTGCTGGAGAGAAGCTGATTAACATAAAGCCAAGAGAGGCAACATGTTGTTGAGAAGAGCTTCATCCTTCTGCCTGAGAAGTCATTTGGGAGGAGCATGGAGTATTTGACGAGCAAAAAGGACGGATCTTTGAAACTTTATAAGGTCCTGGATGTCTTTCCCCCCCAAGGTATGATGCAGCAGTGGTATCATGACATCATTGCCTCCACTGGCAAAGGGCAGAGCTCTGAAAAAAGGCACACAAAGCTTTACAACCTTCTCATCAGCCTTTGGCCTCCCAGACAAACCTGCCTTTCCCCAATGTAACAGGAACTTGTTCTCGGACAAGGAGGAATTTTGAGTCTGTACTGAAGGAAGTGCTGCATTCGTGGCAGGTGGATCTGTGGGGTTGGCACTTACCATCTTTCATTTAGTTTTGCCCCCAGATAAATTTTGAAGCAGGGGGGTATTAAGCTCAGAGAGGGGCTGGTCCAACAATGTTTTACAGAGTCAAGACTCTCAGTTTTCTTTTTCATTTAAAGGAGTCTGCCCCAGGCACCATGGCACAGCAGCGGGGCAATGGAGTTGTACTGAGCTTAGGCATGAATTTTGAGCTGAGGTAAGTGGCCCGCAGATTTGATTGAAGGTTACTTTGACCTGGAGTTAGCTGGTGACCTTTGTTGCAATTAGGAAGGAAAAATCAGCTCTACAAGTTTTGTTTATTATTATTATTATCGCAAATTGATTAGCAAGCAAATTAAAAGTCAATTTTAAGCCTAATAACTTAGACTTTAAAAAAATGGATCAATGCACTCCTCAAATCAAGGATGCAATTAACCACAAAATCAATTAACAGCATGATCAGAGCAGCAGCTGAAAAGGAGCAGTATTCAGACCAGGAAGTTATATAATGTGCCAAGTGAGTCTTATGAAACACCAGCCCCAGCAACTGAAATGTAACCAGCTTCCTAGCCCTCAGAAGCAGGAGTTTTAGGCCCTTGAAGGTTGCTGTTTATTGAAAGATTTCTACAATTAACCTTATTCCACCACAAAATGGCTTACCACTCTCCACTCTGGTGGCACATTAGTTTTATGTAACCAAGTAATTTAAGGGGGTGTTTGCTAGAAAGGTAAATGCTAACACGGGTATCTACACAAATGCACATTGATCCTCACCTTAAAAAGTGTTTACTTACTGATTAATTTATCTGAGTTGCTGCTGTAATAAAACAGGTTCAGTGTGGGGGGTGGGTATTTTTTTAGACTTTTGTGGTCTTTGGGGCATCAGAAGTCAGGACTGCAGTCGGGTGGGGATGAGGCAGTGTCTCTGGTCTGCCTCATGCCTGTGGGTGTCTTGTGTGTAATTGGCTCAAGGCCTGACTTCCTGCATGTTTTTGGCAGGATCAGTGACTCTCACTATTATTATCTCTCCTTTTTTACTCGCATGCATGTTTTCATTCTCTCGGCATATCTGAAAACGATCGTGGTCTGTTTGAACCGCTGCAGAGTGACACCAGAATGACGCGCCGAGGGACTGGCCTTCATTCAGTTCACATTAACCTTTATTTCTGCAGAACAGAGTTGGAAATTTCTTGTGTGCTGAGCCTTACTTGAATGAGGCCTCTGCTTCTCGCACAGAGCTGGCGATGATCTGCCTTGGTTGTATGCGAGGCTTGTTCTGCCTCTCCCCACTGCTGGATTCCACACGCTGGCTCACAAAGATAAGCAGTGTGGGCTGAGCTGTTCAGTGGCAGTAACAGCTGGGATGAAGTCTTTTTGGCACGGAGCCCAGAAGTGGCTCTTTGCTAAAGAGTTTGTCAGGGTGGGAGTTCACCGCCTACTGGGAGATGCTTTCCCTCCTCCCCTTGTGATGGGAGGGAGAGAAGCTGAAACCTTGTGTATTTGAAATCTTTCCCCAGGAAGTTCAGTCCCCATCAAGCCTTTCTGCTTTGGAAATAGCCTGTGGCTTCAGATCGAAACAGCAACTTAGAATAAGATGCACGTCTGGGATATTTAAGGGAACGTAGTGTAATCCTAACAAGATGCGGATGGGTTGATACAATACTGTGGCCTAATCCAATGGAAATTCAGCTTCTGTGTTTGTTGGCTTGTGAGGCTATTTCAGATGTTGAGAGAAAAGCTTGGTCTTTGTGGTGTAGTCGATTCCTCCGTGTGGGGCTAAAGAAAAGGCAAAGCTGCCTCCCCAAGTCACCCCATCACTATGATCATTGAAGGCAGGGATGACAGAGCTCTCTGGGATTGACTCGCTTACCTCTCTGCTAATGCTGTTGATACTGATGACGGGATGCAATTTACAGGGAATCTGCCTTTCCGCCCACAGCATCCAATGGATGGAGTCTTCCCTCATTGAACAGTGACCCAGAGAAGACATTTAAGGTGGCTGCTTGAAGCAGCAGAGGACACCCTGCAACAGGTCAGCCAGGCAATGGTGAGGAAAGGCTCTTGCTGTCTCAAACAGCACGATGGGAAGGGAACATGCTGCAGCTCTCGGAGCCGAGAGATGCTTTCTTCTTCAGTACAAGCTTGGGGCCTGTTGAGCCTCTAAAGCATTTCCTCCTGAAACTAGTTTGAATGTCATGTGAATGGGGCAACTAAAGGAAATATGGGCCAGGAGATGTTTGCATCACTTCTGGCAATGCCTCCCATATGACTGGGTCTGTGCTAATGGGGCTGGGATTGTTTGCAGTGGGCCTTTTGCCAAGTGAATGTCTTCCTACTCTGGAATTTATCCTATGCCTTAAGATTAGGAAAGGGGTGCTAAACCCTGGCCTGCAGAGCCATGTCATCTGACCTGTGGTGTGTGTCGTCGTCGTCGTCGTCATCCCCCCCCCCCCCCCCCCCCCCCCGAGGGTCTGGAATTTGATGGCAGGGGAGAGGTGGCAGTGGTAATTGCTGTTAACCCGCTGCCAAATTTCTGGACCCTTGGGAGGAGCCCTGTGGGTCAGGTAATGTGGCCCTGCATACTAGATCAGCCTGCTGCACAGCTGGATCAGGCTGGCACAGGATCGGGCCCACAAAACAACCCCACAAGCTGAACTCGCACAGGATCTGGCCTGTGGGCTGATCCCATTCACTCATCCAGCATGCGAAGCCAGAAGGTGGAGTGCCACTGGCTTAGGAGATCACACATGGTAACCAGGTTTGGCCAGGAGCCACATCCTGGTCCAAACAGTTAAAGTACAAAGGCCTTTTAATGTCAGGCTGTATTTTGCATGATGTATCTGTGAAGAATGTGTTTTGAAAGCTCCCCACTGGAGACAGCTATGGCTTTTTGGGCAGTGTTTCCTTTTTTATTTCTTACCCCCTAACTATTTGGGACTATGTCATAGCACTTAAACCAAGAATAATTGCCTACTAATTATCCTGGCTGCTGTGTCAATGAATGCAAATGCAGTCCAGAAAGCAACTCCTGGTGCTCCCGGTGGGCCATTGCCTCAAATATAGCCCTAATGGTGCAAGATATGATTATAATTAAGAGATATGAAGATGCATTTTTATTCTATGGATACATTTTGTTTCCCTCTTGCTGCTATTCATTACTAAAACACTTGCACTTGGTTTAATGTAATATGGAGGAAAGCAAACACAACACTGTAGGGCCCTGATGTAGTGCCAAAAACACCCCGACCTTGACTTGTAAGAAGTTGGTGTGTCAGGGGCAAATGGCAGGAGAGCTGCGAGGAGCCCAGTCCTTGTTGTGGCAGCACAGCTATGGCCCTTTCCCCATCATCCCCCTGGCGGTGCACATGCACCTGCCAACAGGCCAGGATGGGGCTCTGCAGACCTTGGTGCCGTGGCTTGCAGCCTCCCTACCACCTGTTGAGCAGTCCAGACTCTGTGGCCGGCAGCAGGGGCCTGCCCAGAGCCCAGGCCAGCTGGCTGGGAGGCTGCAAGCTGCTGCACTGAGGTCTGCAGAGCCCCAGCCCGACTCGTTGCTGGCAATGTGTGCCCACATGCCTTTGGGCAGATGGCGGAGGAGCTGCAAGAGGTGCAATCTTTGTGGCAGCACAGCCCTAGCCCCTTTATCCACCATCTGCCCTGAGGCATGGTTGCCAAGAAAAATGCCTTCATGTGCCATGCTCTAGCATATGTGCCAGGGGTTGCAGACCCCTGCCATAGTGGGGCCCTGATGCAATTTTGCAAAGTCAAGGAGCTGTGTACCCTTCCCAAAGCAGGGCTGTGCAGTGCCTAACATGCACAAGCCTGGACTGGTGTCTCCTATGCACCACTGTAATGGAAATAAATTAGATGGACTTGAAGCTAGTCAAGAAAGAAATTCAGATGTGTTCCAAGTTATAACCGGTTGGTCATGTTAGTCCACCTGGAGAAAGGAAAAGGTGCCATAAAACAAGAAGCTTACAATCTGCAGCTTTTGTTGAAAATCTACTTATTCTCTCAATGTTAGCTGATTGGAAGCACCTGAAATAAAGATCCCAGCCTCACTCCCCCAGCTTATTAGTAACTATTTGCTAATCTTGTCTGATTTAGGGTACCTATTAGCTTTCATTTCCATGACATCAAGCTCTGGCTTTCTAGTTAATCTCACTGCTGAAGCTGCATGTTAATTTTTTTCTTTACTCAAGTGAACTAATATCACATGGGTTAGTGCTCACCATTTCTCATTAGTGGGGGAATCCCTTTCTTTTAAGGCCCATGTTTTACATTCATCCCATGCTGACATGGTTTTTGAGTTAAAGCAAGATTTACAAATGCAATATTATGGAAGTCGTTTAGAAAATTATTCATCCCAGAGAAACAAATGTGCGCTGCTGGGATGACTCCAGGACTGGTAATGGGATGAAGCACACTTAAAATCATGGGCTTGGGAGAGACCTCATGGGTCAATCTCTTCACTGGATTTAGACCGAACCCAAAGAAGATGCCAAATGCTTTTTGTATTGCCATGCATCTGCCACACCATGGTACTCAGCAAATATTCTATGGCTGTCGTATCTCCAAAGTATTCCTAGTCAAAACATTCACGTGTCCAAAGCTTCAGTCCAATGGAAGATGAAGCAAAGGATGAGTCAGCCCTCAGAACTAGAGGACTAGATCAATTTTGTGATGCAAGGAAGCAGACCTCTAACTAATTGATTACTCCGCCATTTCTGTCAATTCACTTATGTTCTGCACTGCTGTATTTCTTCACTCTGGATTTTTAATCTCACATTCATGCCTTGGCACACTGAAAATATGAAGTACAAAGCAACAATCTTGGCTCTTTATGGAGTCAAAAGGCACAAGACTGTTCTGGAAGAGGGCTGATGGGCTTAATGCCTCAGCATGTTGAATGGAAGACACCCCCTACTTTGGCACCCTGAGCAACTAGGGCATTGTACTCCTTCACGGCCTTCTCTGTCTGCAGAACCAGCACATCAATTCCGTTTTTCTTAAGATAGTCCACCGTAGATGCTGGTACCTGAATCAAGGAAAGGAAAAGTAGGATCAGATGGTACGTTCTTTCCCTCGTATATTAATGAAACCCAGTCACTGATTATCTCTGTTAATGAGAGATTCTTTGGGGCTGCGGTGGATAGGACAAGGAGCAATGGTCTCAAATTGCATTGGGATAAATTTAGGTTGGATATTTGGAAGAACTTTCTTGACTATGAAGATGGATCAGCACTGGAAACAGCTACCCAGGGAGGCTGTCGATGCTCTCAAGAACTTTCAAGGATGGAGATGATTAGATGGACACTCGACTGGGATGGTTTAGTCAGGGATGATCCTGCTTTGATCAGGGGGTCAGACTAGATGATCTCCTGAGGTCCCTTCCAGCTCTACTAGTCTATGAAAAACATTAATGTGATCCTAGGTACAATTCTGAACTTGACTAATAGGAAGGTAACTCTGGAAATGGCCTTGAAATGATACAAAGAATGAAAAATGTTGTAAGTTTGTAACACCACAAGACTGCCTGTTTAGCTCTGCCTACCAGCTCAAATAGAGTATAGCATCTCAAAATGAATTATGTTTAACTGAAGACCAGCATTTCTGAATTTCTGCAGCTATAATAACATCATGCAACACTAGCTGGGGTGTTCAATGACATTCAGTCACAGTATCACAGGCGGGGGGTCTAGCTTACCATCAGTTTTAAGAGTTTAAAAGAAAAGTGATGTTGTCAAAAAATTCTTACTGTTAAACCATCCCCTGGCAGATTGTGCAAACCCATTTACAGTTTGACACTGGGCTTCCAGCGTGGCACTATGATGCTCTCAGCAATACTGTCACTACCAGGAGACTGCTCAGAAAAGAAGATGCTAAATTCACATCTTTTTCCATAGGATGTGTCTCTTGGCCCTTTTCTTTTTCTTTTTAAATGCAACTATTTTATGAAGGTCAGACCATGGGGCTGACAACCAGTTGGCCTGAAGACCAGTTGGCAGCTCTCTTGGAACTAGTGAAGGGAACGACAACCATGTAAGGAGGAGAATTATAAGCAGCTGCAATTTATGATTATCTTATGCTAAGAGTGGCCACACCATGGCTTGCAAGCCACATGATGCTCCTGAAGAAAGGAAAGTAATGGGATGTTATGTGCAGATCACCAAAACTGGAGCCAACCCAGCTCTCAAGCTGTGTGTCCTCTAACAAGGTGTCTGTTTGTGGCTAGAAGGGTTAAGAAGTTGATCCAACCCATTATAGACCAAAAACTTACCTGTAAGGCCTCACTCATGCCACGACCAATCACTAAAGTTTTAACTCCTTTACTGACGACTTCTTCAAGATCAGCAGGTTGCACTCCAGGGGAATGCTACGTATTAATGGGGAAAAAAAAGGAAAAAAGCTACAGTTTGCAGGTTGAGAACATTGAGCAGCCCAAGCTTCCTCTACGTATGTTGTATCAGGTATTATATTAACTTTATATGGAACAAAAACATCCCTTTCTTCCCAACACTCAATTTAGGTAATACAAGCAATTTCAAAGGATGCTCTAGAAGCAGTTTTTAAGTGCACCAGTGAAATACGATTGTCCTCAATTGCTAATTACATGCAATCACTCTTTATAAACAGCTATAAAGTGAAAGGCTGTGTAGCCAGATTATATACATTTAAAAGGTATTTCTGGTGGCAAAGACCTAACAAATACTAAAAGATTTAAAAAGACAGTTTAAACAACAAAAATCACTGAAATATAGTGGATTTCATGCTTATGGCAAACCAAAATTATCCCACTTTTTTTTTTTTTAAGGCTCCTTTAGATGCTCAAAATTTAAATTGAACTTTGCTTATATAGTTTCTTCATATCTGGTTGGCAGGCTTTCCAGGCTAGAATGACCCAGTTTGGGTCAAAGGTAGCTGGCTGGTAGGACCTGGCCATCATCATGTCCTCTGCTATGGTACAAGGGAAATGCCCACTACAGCCACTTCTCGTTGCGGCAAGGGATGAGCCCCCACTGCCAGAGCTCCATATCTACAGGTCGGATCCAGTGGTTTGGCGGGCTGAATGCTAGCTTACTTGCTGGAATTAATTTGCTAGGGACAACTGAAGCGTATTGATCAGCTTCTTGTTTAAACTCGGTTTCATTTTCTGGTTTTGCTGCACTCGTCCAAGTTCTTAATTTGGCAAAGGAATGTTTGAATCCAAACAAAGTGTTCTCACAAAAAGAGATTCATCTCGTAAAAACCTGGAGAGTGCTTGAAGTTCTTTTAAAAAAATGATTTTTTGACTGCAAACAACTTGTTCCTTTAAAAAAAAAAAAAAACCAGTACTTTTGCAGACATTTTTCCATTATTTTTTGTCTTAATTAACTTTCCCCCCAACTTGTGACTGTCTATACATGCAGGGTAGCAAGTGTTCTGTGAACAGAGACAGAACAACCTGTGTGGCTTTTTCTCATTGTGTGCATTTTGTCTAGAAAACTTAGCTCTCTTGATGGCATTTAAAAGTGTCTTTAAGAAGCCTGTGAGTTGCTCTTTATTAACGACAAATGGGCAGCACTGCAGCATATCTTTTGAAGGATACTCTTTTTATGGAAGCAACGATTTCTAGGATGTGAATGTGATCTGAGAACCTGCTAACAGACGCATGCAGAATCCACCCCTCTCTCTAGAACATGCTGTGTTCACTGAGCAAACTAAGCTCAGGGCATCCATTCAAGAACTTGACTTGTTTTACTTGTTTGTCATCTTTGCTCTCCGGTACTTTGGGGATGTGCCTATTTATTTCTCCTTGACCCAATGTCTATGATGGCCAAAGAAGACTCAACACTAGGGCTTTCTCCAGCACCAGTCACAGTCCTAAACAGTCGACGGGTTCCTAGGATGTTTTTTATTCCGAAGTCTTTCCAAGGCGAAGCCTCCTTGTCCAACATAGAACCGATATTCTGGGTTAGACTGTAGGCCTTTCTGTTTTCATAAATGGGGCTCTGGGTAAGAAAGTGCTGATGCTTCAGAAAGAGTATAAGAAACTGGGCATGTGTAGAGTGATCAGAGCTGCCTGGTTAGTTGTTATATTTTATTGCGTACCACATGCTCCCAAATAAAACATGCACCTTGCTTTTGGAAGGCAGACTGTAGGAAAAAAAAACTGCTCCAGACTCCTGGCAGACTGAGACACACGGTACGTCCTCCTGGAAATGTAGACTGTGTTAGGGTTGCCAGCTCTTGACTGAAGCTATTCCGGGAGATCTTTCCCCCCAACATTACGTAATGTCATTAATTGTACTGTTCAACCCGTTCATAATATCAACCTCCCGGATTGCTTTCAATAGTCACCGGGAGATCAATGCCAATTCTGGTAGACTTCTGGCCAATCCAGGAGGGCTGGTAACCCTAGGGTCTATCCAAATGAGTGTGCACATGCCTGGCTGACTGGAGCCACATGTGCGCTCATCTGGACCCACCCATAGTGTCTGGGAAACGTAGCATCCCAGGAAGCAGTCTGGGTGAGGCAGTAGGAACTTCTTGGTGTGTCAGGATAACAAGAAGGCTAGGCCCCAAACCCTTGCAAGGGTAGTAGTAAGACTGCTAGCTCTTTACTTGTATAAAAATCTATTTATAAGTTTCCATAAATAACGAAGTGTTGTTTCCACACCACAAACCTCATCACGATACTATTTATCAGTCAGCTCTGTAGCTTTTCACCCAACAGCCTACTGCCTCACCTAGTACCTGCCTCTTAGTTGGTCATAGCTGCTTTTTGCCTTTTCCCAAAAGCTACTGCTTCCTGTGACATTTGAGGCAATGGTGTGGCCAACTAGTTAGTCCTTGAATTACTGGGGAGTTGTTGCAAGAGGGTTAGCACTGGACTCTGCCCCTGCTGTTTGCTGCCCCAGGGAGAAGTGTTGCCATCTTATCAGCCATGAGTCATAGCATCTGCTTGTTCTATTCTACTCTACTGCTATAGCCATGAAGAAAAATCAGCGTTGCTGCTGAAGACACTGCACCTCAACTTTGGAGGGCTGAGTTTTTGGAGGGGGGAGGTGTGTGGGGTATGCCAGCAAATACAGTACCTCCCTACCTCATATTTAACAACCCTGATGAACCAATCCTCCATAAATGTTTCTAATCCCTTTTTGAACCCTGTTATGGTGTTGGCTTCTATGACATCCTGTGACATCAAGTCCCACGCATTAGTTATGTGTTACGTTAAAACGTTCTTCCTTTGTTTTTGTGCTTAAGCCACTGCCAGATGATAAAGGAATGTCTTTGGGTGCCCCCTTGTTATGAAACATGGCAAATATCAGTTCCCTGTTCAGTTTTTCCACATGATCTTAGACCGTATCCTCCTCTCCCTGCAGCCATCTCTTTTCCAAAGTGAAAAGACCCAGCCTGTTCAGTCTTGTGCCCCCTCAAGTGAAGGAAACCCTGGCCCTATGATAATCGTGCTATCCTGAGGTATAAAATGCCAGCTATATACAGGGGGAAGGCAAGTTTATCCCCCTAATAGGCGCATGTGGGCCAGCATGCTACTGTTCAGCACCCCACAATGCCAATCAAGACCTAGGTCCTAGCTTTGGTCCTCCAGCTTGGGACTGTTGCATAGCCACTAGGCTGCTCTTGCCTCAGAAAGGGAAATAACCTGTTAACCCACTGAAGTTTTATCCCCCCACCTAAAAAGAAATCTTGATATAAGGCCCTGTTGGGGTGAGTTAACCATTTAAAAAGCATGCTGATGACAAAAGGGAGACATGTTCTTATTGGCCTCTAAAAGCTCCAGGTGTACTTTAATGATAAGGCACCTGGATCCAGACAAAAGAAAGAGGTATGGCCAACTAATTACAGTCCTTGGATTGCTGGGGAGGATATGAAGTCTGCAATCGACACTCTGGAGCCATTAAAGCCTTGGAACAAAGAGCAATGAGGATTGCGTTTCATCTACTCTGTAACCCCCTAGAAGGAGGGGGCTGCTGCCTGTTTTAGATCCATCGCTCCAGGCTATAGGAACAGCTACATTTTCCCAGTCAACTCTATGGATCTGGCGGCAAGAGGGAGACAGGAACTACAGCCAAAGACCCTGCCTGTTTTCTCTTTTCTCCTGTTCTTTCAGGAACCCTTTCCCTTGTCTCCCATTAGCAGCTGGCACCAAAGTGCAGCCAGCCAGGAAGGCTGCCTTTTATCCCCAGGGTTAAGGTCACATGGACTATTAGGCCTTAGTTACAGAACCCTGCCAAGCCACTTATACAATTTTCCCAAGGAGAGAATTAACCTGCCAGGCACCAATTTGTCAGCACAGCAGCAGAGGAAGCAATTTATTTCTAACAAGCATGAAGCAAGAGGGGCACCTGGGGCAATGCCACCTGTTTCACAATTCCATGTCCCCTGAGGACTTGTGTCCCCCCTTTCCTACCCCAAAAAGGAGTGGGTGGAAATACTGCCAAACCCTTCCCGGTCTGCTAATCAAATCAAGCATTGCAAAGCTCCCTCAGAGCTGGGCAATGAAGTGTCAAGTCAGGAACCCTTGAATCCAGTCCCCATTTTGCTATGTGACCCCAGCAGTCATCTTCAGCTGTGGAAACAAGTGTACAGCAAAAACATGTACCCGAGTCCAGAGCTTTAAAGAGACAGCAAAGAGAAAAATACGGATTTTTTTTTAACTGTTTTGATAATGTGGAAAGGAAGCCTGAAAAACCTCCCCCTGTTGCCCCTCATTTTTCCTTGGGTTTTTTCAAGCCTTATACAGATCCAAAATGTCACAGCTCTTCTCCCCTGTTTTGACTGGAGGACTTGTCAGATGACTCAGCTGTGGACTTAAAGCTCTTTAAATCTTCATGGAGACAGCATTTCTCCCTAGTGTTTTATAGGTGCTAGCCAAAAAAAAAAGGTTTAGTCTGGCAAAAGAAAAAAAAAATCAGTCTCCAACACAATTAACCATGTTTCATATAGGACTGATATTACAAACCTAGTTTTCCAGTTATCGATTCATCCTTCCAGGAAAAATAGGATAGATAAGCCTTGAATTTCTAATGTGAAAAAATAGACTCAACCACAGTGAAAACTCCCTCTCCCCTCTTTCTTCAGGCCATCCCCATACAGAATAAGGTAGCATGGAAAAAAACAGGCCTACAGCTCTCAACCCTGTTTGTCTCTTTGCAAAGCCCTTCAGCCCTTTGCCCAAAGGGTGCTGTGTACTGGAAGCATCATTATAAATTGATAACATTCAGCACTGGATGAAATTCCTTTCCCTGACCCTTTTATACTAACTTCCAAACAAAAGCATCAAGCCTGCAATTGGCTCTGCACAGGATCCAACTGGCTTCAGTGAGGCATTGTGTGGGTTTACATGAGCACAATGACAAGTGGAAGCTGAGAGCATTTGGCCTGGGCTACAGTTTTGTATTGTTTTTGCCTTCACTTAGGGGTGTGGACTTACTGTGCATCAGCTACTTTGTGGTTACCGTTGTGTCTGTCAATGCCTGTCTTGGGGTAAATGGAAGGTAAACCATGGTCACTTAACCCTGTTTCATTCAGGGATGAGTTGTCCTGGTTTTGCTTCTGCTTACCATGTGATAGCGCCAGACACACAAGCCAGTTACTATGGAGCAGCTGACGTGGGGAGTCCCTCCTTTAAATTGGTGTGACTTGTCAGTTCTTATATTTATATCAGTAGAAAATTATTCTCTTTTCTATGTCAGAATGTGGACTCATGGAAGTACTTCCATAATGACATTACTATGTTGCTGGGTTTTTGGTTGGTCTAAGGAAATAGGCAGGCGAGGTTCTTTGGGTAGATGTGATATCTTTTATTAGACCAGCTGAGTAGGTGGAAAAAAGTTCTTAGCAAGCTTTCGGGTGCAGTCACCCTCTGTCGGGCATAGGGAATCTCTCCTCGTCTGAGACTCCAAGGAATGAGACAAGCTAAAAGTTAAGACTTCCTTGGAGTCTCAGACGAGGAGAGATTCCCTATGCCCGACAGAGGGTGACTGCACCCGAAAGCTTGCTAAGAACTTTTTTCCACCTACTCAGCTGGTCTAATAAAAGATATCACATCTACCCAAAGAACCTCGCCATACTAATATTACTGCATTCACATGGGGAGGAGGCAGTCCGAGTACTTCCACTATACTGTTTTTAAAGCACTTAGTCTTGAAGAGGTTGCATCAGATGAAGGGCATTGTACTGCAATTGCATTCCTTATCAGGCAAAGAATCCCAAAAAAGTACTTAGGAAGTACTACAGTAACTGTTCCCCAGGCTGCTCCTGTAACCCATTTAACATGGACCAAGGATAGAAAACTCAACACTTACATTAGTCCCCGTTTCTCTCCAATCCCAGGTTCGGCTTCCCCCTGGCCACACTTTGCAGTCCTTATAAGTTGCAGAACAACCTTTCACCTTCATGTGACCCCAGGAAAGGGAAGCAATTTCAGGAGAAGACATTGCAGAGCTGAACCAAAGGTCTGAAATAAAGGATGTTTATCCCCATAGCACCATATGCCTGGTACTCAACAGAAAAGGCCAATCACATCCTTGCCCTGAGGAACGTAGAAGGTAAATGCAACTCTCACGTACAGTTAGCGCTGAGGAAGGAAGGCTGTTCTTGTGATTTAGGCATCGGGTTGGGGTTCAACAGATGTGTTCTGTTCTCAGCTCTTCCCAAGAGTTTATGGGGGACTTTGGGCAGGTCACCTGGGCCCACATTTTTAATAGATACTTAGGCACCTACTTTGCATTTCTGTGGAAGTAAGACACCCAATACCTTCAACAATCTGAGCCTTGGCTCTCTTTCCATGTACGAATTGGGAATTTATTATAGTCCTATACCTTATAAAGGTGTGGCAAAGGCAAGGCTGCAGACCCTAGGGGGATGCTCTGATGTTATAGCCATCTAGGTTGTTGGGACCTAATGAGAAAGTGGCGGATGTGCTGATTATGAATGCAAAGAGATGGAGGATGAGATGAGGATAAGCAGCAAGATATTTGCCTAGCTGGCTTTAAATCAAGGGCCAGATGTATTCAGCAGAACAAGAGGGAGCTGTATTTTGGGCAAGGATTTACTCTGTATTGCTGGGTCCCTGGGTGGCTTTCCTCCCCCATTTCTCTTGGGGCACTGGTTCTCAAACTTTTTAGACTCCAGACACCGCTGAATAGACTTAAGGCACCCTTTGGAAAATGTCAGATCTTAGTTTTTTTTTTTTTTTGTCTACAGAAAAATAATAGAACAGTTCTTCTATTGCAAAAACCTCAGAAACATCACAGCTATGGATTTCTGGATTTGAAATCTCTGGATTTATTTTGTGAATCATGTTTGCACACTTAACAGTGCTAACATTGTGTGACACCCTTGAAAGGACCTCAAGGTACCCTGGTTGAGACCCACTACCTCAAAGACTGTGAAGGGTCGGATGAAATTCATTCTTTTGAAAACCTCCTATAGGCACATCTGAATTGCCCACCACAGTCACATCTAAGCAGCAGTCAAGGAGAGATGTAGAAGCTAGGAGGGAACAAAACACTCCCCAATTCTGGAAACCAGTGTGCTGTCTCTACTAGACTTGGAGACACCATAGTCTGACCTTTGCTAGGATTCTGGCACCGTGATGGGAACTACATCAACGTGTTGGGTCACCCTCGAGGAGGATGGCCTTTCTGCCCTTCCAGTTGAGAACAACCAAGGACAGTCTGACTACAGCATTTCAATAGAAAACGGTTACCTGTGCACTGAAGAGAGCTTTGTCCATTCTGTTCCAACTAATCTGAGGGGTCGACTCCATCAGGTAAAAAGTGAGGTTCCTTAATGAAATGTATGGAATTCAATCCCCGACTCAAGCACTGAGTTCACTTCTCCAGTGTTTCCAGATTTCTACCCAGAAAAACCTATTCCCATCCTTGAAGCCTTTGTACGTTGTTCAAAATCAGCAGCAAAATCCACTGCCTGAGCCCATACTACTGATTAAAGAAAGAGCTCGCAGAAGAGCAATCTGTGGATTAACAGACGTTCCATCCTCCTGGAAAATCTCAAGAAAAACCTACTAACGTTTGCACAGGGGATCAAATAACATTACAGTAACCTTGCAAACCCCCTCCTTCCCCAACATGCATGGAGACAAACTACAGGAGACAGCACTACTCTTCCCTGACTGCCAAGAATGAATTTGAGTGTGCTGCCTCAAATGTCACATGAAGAACAAACAGCGTGACTACTCGCAGATCAGCAAAAGATTGAGACGGCTTCACATCTGAGAACAGAACAACTTTTTTTGCCTCCTTTCAAAGCCAATGATAGTCTCCTCAGACACATTACTTGCATGAGACTGGAATTCGACCAGGCGTGTTCTAGATTGGGTAGTCGGGCACTGGTAGTGCTATGGAGCCTGGTTCCCTTCACAATAAATATCTAAATTTTTAGGTTGAAAGAACGTGCTAAAGTGAGGCAGCAGCAGGAGGGGAAAAAAAAGAACTAAGGCAAATTCCAAGCCCTCTGGATTCACTCTGTGGCCTTAGTAAAAGCCAAACACAGACCATCCAGCAGCTGGTTTTGGACAGTTGAGTTTCTGCCTGAAATGTCCTGGATGATTTAATTCTATGAAAGTAGTAGTATGAATTCATGTTAGTGGGAGATCAGTGGTGGCCTTAGGGTTGTTGGGGCCCTGGGCAAGAGTCATTTGGGGCCCCTTAGAGGCTCAATTTTGATGACCTATAAGCAGGTCGGACATTTTCAATTTCAATTTGCCCTACCCATGAAACTGCAATGAAAGGATCTTAATACAATATTGATAATACAAATATTCAGTGTAATTAATTTTTATTTTTATAAAATGTGGGGCCCTGAGCAGTCACCCGGTTTGCCCTCCCCTAAGGCTGCTACTGGGGAGGCGGTACAGAAGGAAGTTAGTTGTCTTTAGATGGGCAACCGAAACACGGATGTGGAAGGATTTCCATAGAAAGAGATTTAAAAAGCTGAAACTATACAACTGAGAGAGAGATGTGATGTGAGAGAGACCAAGTAGTTAAATAAGGAGCTTTTATTTATTCTTACCAATAACACGAGGAGGAAGTGCAACTAAAAGACAAAAAAAGCTTAAAGGGAGTATTTTTCCATTGTGAATACTTGGTTTGGAATTTATTGCCACAAGGTATCACTGGGGTCGACATTACTAACAATTCACAAAGATTCATCAGGCAGGAATTTAAAAACAAGTTTGTTTTAGAAGGAATAAGATGCAGGGCCCAAACCATCCCCCAAGTGATGGGGGAGGTGGGAGGTCGAGAATGGTATTCCTTAATGATCCACTGCGGCATGACCCATACGTTTTTATGAAGCATCTGCTACTGGTTAAGATTGGAGATGGGTTAATGTACTACAGTATGCGGCTGCTGGTGCAGCATTTATCCTGAGCTGTAGCTGGCAAGCCAAGACAGACTGAAGAGTACTCCAGCAGTGGCACACAAAGACAGCTGAATTAGTTTGGCTATGTTTTCAGAGGAAGAGTTGTATTTGAAGATGCTTTTTTCATCCCTTGGCAGACAAGGTTCTTTGAGAAGATGTCGGGTATCCAGGTGATAGCCGTATTGGTCTAGAGGAAAAAACAAGCGGGACTTATAGTAGAGATGATATTTTTTATTAGATCAACAAGATTTTTGCAAAAAAAAATTTTTAACTGCAAGCTTTTGGGGGCAATCACCCTTCTTCGGGCATAGGGAGTCTCTGCTGTTCTAACACACCAAGAAATGAGAGAAGCTAAAAGTGTGACAGGGTGTCAGTGAGAACATAAATAGGTAGAAATTAGGAAAACAAAAAGG